TGAGAAAGAAGAGCAAAAATGGGGACATGTAGCCCTGCTATCCACAATGATGACAGCAATAAGCAGGTGGGACTGTCAGCAAGGGCATGGGTGGCTCCTCTCCCAAAAGGCAGTTGGCCAAAGTTAAAATACAGAGTCTCTGATCAAGCACTTCTGCTTTTGAGACTGCACCTGGAAGAGGTCTTGGGTGTAGACAAAGATTAAGAATATCCACAAACATGTCTATGCACACCCTCTTCACAGCAGTACTGCTTGTAAACAGCAGAAGGGTGGAAAGAACCCAAATGCCCATCAAACAACCACATTTTCACACACCAAGAGAAAACATTTTCAAGTAAAAAAAACTGGGACAGAAAAGAATTTCCACGTATACCAAATATCAAATACTTAAAATGAACAATAAGCAATGATAACACCTAAAACTATCAATTCCTATTTCATATGTCTGGATGAATACACAGAATGGAAAAAAATGTGCATATCTTCACCAAAGTAAAGTTATGAAAAAAGTGTGTTTGCTTATGTATTTTTTGAGTAAACAAATAAACTAAAAACAAAGTGGTTACCTACAGGTGAAGTGGAGGGGACATACATGGAAAAAAATTCTGTGAGTGTTTATTATTTAGACCTTGGAACCCTGTAAATATTTAACAAAGTTATAAAACCTAATATGGCAATTCCTAGAAACTGAAACAAAAGAGCTGTAAGTCAGCCTGGCAGGATAACCTCACAGGGAAGCATTATTTCCAGTGACTTTCAAACACATGAATGTGTACATCCCCAGAGGAATAAAAGGGCAATCTAAGGACAGTCAGGGAGCAGGCCTTCCGGCACAGGACACAGGTAATGCTGATTTAAGACGGAAGAAGTCAGAAAAACCCTCTGGTCCTAACTTTGAGCCGGAAGTACCAATATAAACCCATGGAGTGTTTTATGTCCAAAAGCCAAACCAACAAAAACATAAGTATGTATGGGGGTGGCTTCCTAGCTCCAGAATTCTACTGTAAAAAACTAACCTAGTATTGAAGGTTCCGACAAAGGCCCCACCTGTGGTCCCTAAACACCGATTCCCACTGAACTTAAAATTAACAGAGATCCTCAGAAATGGTTAATTCCAACTTCGTGGTAAAAAATACACAAAATGAGTGTGGAACATCTTTTCTTACCAGAAAGTAATAAAACCATCAAAGACTACTGAGGGTATATCAGAGCCCAAGAGCCAAACTGAAGAGATGCCCGTTGGCCAAGATGGAGCATTTTAGGCTTCAATAAGAATCATACAATGATTAAAATTTTAAGTATGTCTATATCCATGAATTCACACCACCACTAGAAACCAAATAAAAACTTATTAGTCACCACCTTCAACAGATGCTAGAGAACCAGATTATTGAGGAAACTGATAAATAAAGCTTAGGAATCAGAATTTATCCAGCCTCTCCTTATAAAGTGTACTTAGTGTAACCAAATAACTGATGAGGGTGTTTCTCTTTATGTAAGTATTCCAGGTACTATAAAGTTGCAAGATACAAAATCAATGTGCAGAAATTCACTGCATTTCTTTTTTTTTTTATTTATTATTTATTTCACTGCATTTCTATACGCTAATAATGATGCAGCAGAAAGAGAAATTAAGAAAACAATCCCATTTACAAACGCTCCAAAAAGAATGAAATATCTAGAAATAGACTTAAAAAGGAGGTGAAACACCTCTACTCTGAAATTTATAAAACACCGATGAAAGAAACTAAAGACGACACAAAGACATAAAACGGATTAAGGACCTAATGTGACACCTAAAGCCATAAAAATCCTACAAGAGAGCACGCACAGGCAGTAATGTCCCTGACATCGGTTGTAGCAACATTCTTCTGGATAGGTCCCTTGAGGCAAAGGAAACAAAAGCAAAAATAAACTGTTGGGACTACATCAAAATAGAAAGCTTCTGCACAGCAAAGTAAACGACCAACAAAACTAAAAGACAACCTACTGAATGGGAGAAGATATTTGCAAATGACATATCCGATAAAAGGTTAGTATCTAAATTACATAAAGAACTTATACAACTCAATGCCCAAAAACCAAATAGTCCAATCTAAAAATGGGCAGAAGACATGAACACATATTTCTCCAAAGAATCCAGATGGCAAACACACACATGAAAAGATGCTCAATATCACTCATCATCAGGGAAATGCAAATCAAAAGCACAAAAGCCTGGGCGGCTCAGTTGGTTGAGTATCCAATGCCTGGTTTCGGCTTAGGTCATGATCTCGGAGTCGTGAGATCGAGCCCCGCATCAAGCTCCACATTCAGCACGGAGTCTGCATGAGATTCTCTCTTCCTCTCCTCTGCCCATCCTACTCATGCTCTCTCTCTCTCTCTCTCTCTCTCTCTCTAAAATAAATAAATAAATCTTAAAAAAAAAAAAACCACAATGAGATACCACCTCACACCTGTCAGAATGGCTAAAATCAACAACACAGGAACAAGCATTGGTGAGGACGTGAGAAAAAAGAACCCTCCTGCACCACTGGTGGGAATGCAAGCTGGTGCAGCCACTCTGGAAAACAGTATGGAGGGTCCTCAAGAAGTTAAAAATAGAGCTACCCTACAATCCAGCATTGCACTACTAAGTATTTATCCAGAAAATATAAAAACATTAATTCAAAGGGACACATGCACCCTGATGTCTACTGCAGCATTATTTACAATAGCCAGGATATGGAAGCAATCCAGTGTCCATGGATAGATGAATGGATAAAGAAGATACAGCATACCTATACACAATGGAATATTATTTGGCCATAAAGAAGAATTAAATCTGCCATTTGCAATGACATGGATGGAGCTAGAGAGTACTATGCTAAGCAAAATAAGCCAGTCAGAGAAAGATAAGTACCATATGATTTCACTCATATGTGGAATTTAAGAAACACAACAATTGAACAAACGAAAAAAAAAAAAGAGAGACAAAACAAAAAACAGACTCTTAAAGAACAAACTGAGGGTTACCAAAGAGGAAGTGGGTAGGGCGATGGGGGAAACAGGTGAAGGGGATTAAGAGTACACTTATGTTGATGAGCACTGGGTGATGTATGAAAGTGCTGAATCACTTCATCATACACCTGAAGCTAATATAACACTGTATGTTAACTATACTGGAATTAAAATTAAAAAGAAAAAAGTATTTGAGGTACTAAATGAAGAGAAATGATGGAATCAGAACCTATTGTTCTGCATCCCTTAATGAAATAACGGATCAGGACCACAACTGCACTGCTAGCATCGGAAAAAGAGACCACAGGCATGATGTGCCTGTATATGAATGTACACTGTAACAGGTTAAGTATTCCTGCACCCCTCCACCCCCAAATTAAGTCCAACTGGAAACTAAGCAAGTCTTTAGATCCAACTAACAATTTATGATGAAAACAGGGAGCAGAAAGAATATGTAAAACATCACCACAGGGATACGTAATCTCCAAATCCAGGCTATAGGAAACTCTGTAAGACAAATCACCTGATTTCTTCAACAAGTACATTACAAGGAAAAAGTAAAAAAAAAAGAAAAAAAGAAGTTACAGATAAAAAACATTTAAGAGATATATCAACCCTGGGTGCCAGCCTGTCTCAATCAGTGAGTGGAGCGTGCAACTCTTGCTCTTGGGGTCATGAGTTTAAGCCCCATGCTGGGTGCAGAGATTACTCAAAAATAAAATCTTTAAAAAAAAAAGAGAGAGAGAGAGAGAGAAAGATCAACCAAATACAAGACATAAATATTAAATGGAGATCCAAATAAACTATTCAAACAAATTTTGACACAATCAGGAAAATTTGAACATTAGCTGCCAATTTGAAAATAACTAAGAAATTACTGGTAATTTTTTAGATTGATAATGGTTTTGTGATATCTTAAAAAAACAGCCCTTATCTTTTATAGATACACTTTGAAATATTTATGGATAAAAATTTTGTTTTACTTAGCGATATTCACTACATTCTGTATATAATAGTAAGTAACAGAATGTTATACACACAGCCTCGTGTCCATTTCCAGGAGCCAGAGGATACACTATGGTCAACTATTCCACAGGTTACTATATAAGCACTCAATAGGATGATACGAAATGTTAAATGGCTTAAAATTATCTCATCAATTAAATAAAACCGTATGCACAATGACCTTCTTGGAAAAGGGTACAAACTACAAGAATCATACACTAACAGTGCTTAAAGTGAGGATTGTGAGCAATTTTTCTTAATGTTCACATGTTCTGGATTTTCAACCATGAATGATTCCTTTTTAAACAAAATAAACGCTAACATATTTAAATTGCAGAAAATCACACAAAAATGCACAATCTCCTAATTTTTATCATTTCCATTTTTCCTAGCTCTTTGTGACTGAGACTTTCTCCCTGATGACCAATTCAGGTTTGATTAATCTGCCTGTTTATTACAACTTGTTTTTCTCAATGAAGCACAACAGCTACAACGTACAGAAACACGCACGACCCAACAGCCAACCGAGACAAGATTCCTCCTAAGGAAGGGATTCCCGTATAATGCTCACAGTCACAGAACTTAACAATTAAAACAGAACTGCTCTAATGATTTTGCACGACCCAACAGCAGACTGAGACAAGATTCCTCCTAAGGAAGGGACTCCTGTATAATGCTCACGGTCACAGAATTTAACAATTAAAATAGAACTACTCTAATGATTTTTACATATAATTCTAACAATAGAATAAGCATACCAGAATAGCTGTGGAGGAGGGGAGGGAGGTGGGAGAGAGCAGGAGACAGAACGGAGAGGAGGGTAAGGGCTTACAGTGCAGGCTCTAGGGTGCCTACCTGAGTCAGGCCCTGGCCCAAGCTAGGCTGTCTTTATGACCTGTCCCTGCCTGTGTCCTCATTTGTGAAACGGAAGGAGTTGTCATGAGGAATACAAGGAAAAAATATATGGAAACTTCTTGGAACAGACCTTGGCCAATAGTTAAGCGTGTCAGTTAGGAGAGGGGTCTGACCTTCTCTTCCAGTGGCATGACAAGGATGCCCCCTACTTTGAGAAGACTCTTCATGTACTCTTCATGCTCTTTCTGCACACCAGCCCCACAGTACACACGATCGTACTGAGAACAATCTGGAGAAATCTCCAGGCAATTGCCAGTAACAAAGGAAGGTTCACAGAAGTCAAATCTAAAAGCAAAAAATGTTTTCTGTAACTGAGTATATCACATTATAGCAAGTCTATCTATAGTAAGTCTATACTAACCACAGGTTATGTTTTCCTTGAACAACCCTATAATGACATAATACAATTGACAGAGCCAAAAGATGGAAGTCAGACCTCCAAAAAGAATTATATTATTAATAAACAGAACCCTAGAAATTCCAAACAAAATATTCTGAAAGTGAATGTCATAAACATAATACAGACTTAAATCATCTAACCTCCAATCATCACTGTCTTTGCTCTGTTTTTATAAATCATTACCTTATTTAAGATCTACTAAAACCAAGTGCAATGAGGGGCGCCTGGGTGGTTCAGTCAGTTAAATGTCCGACTCTTGGTTTCAGCTCAGGTCATGATCTCAGCGTCGTGAGACTGAGCCCAGTTCTCATCAGGCTCCACACTCAGCATGGAGTCCGCCTGAGATTCCCTCTCTCCCTCTCCCTCTGACCCTCCCCCACACTTGTGTGCATATGCACGCGCTCTCTCTCTCTCTCTCAAATAAATAAATCTTTAAAAAAATAAAATATAAAAACAAGTAAAATGAAAGAAAACTACATCTGGTGTTTCTACAAATGCTAAACCCTAAAGTAAGAACTTTAATGTCTTATTTAAAAATGGAAAGAGAGGGGCGCCGGGGTGGCTCAGATGGTTAAGTGTCTGCCTTCCGCTCAGGTCATGATCCCAGGGTCCTGGGATCGAGCCCCGCATCAGGCTCCCTGCTCGGCGGGGAGCCTGCTTCTCCCTCTCCCATTCCCCCTGCCTGTGTTCCTGCTCTCACTATCTCTCTGTCAAATAAATAAATAAAATCTTTTTTAAAAAAAATGGCAAGAGGTAGTTATACATACTATTTAAAGACAAATGCAATAATTCTGTCTTAGAAACCATTAGGTAATAAATTGTTGTCTGTGTTGGAAACATGAAAACTGGGCAAAATGAACATTCTACTTCCTTTTCTTATTATATTGGTGAAAAATTACCTTACCCTGGTATCATAGTTAAAAAACCTAAAGCCCTCAAAAGCACAAAATATTTAAAAAATAATTAGAACAACTATGCACATACCCCTGATTCTCCTCCCAAAGTTGAATCCTGTTTGCTGGTGTATGAACACTAATAAACTTATGTCTCCCATCTAATCAAAAGTCTAAATTATAATCCACACAGCAACCCAAGGGCAGTATTTGATCTTACTTGTCAAAGCTGTCACTGGTTCTAATGAAGAAGTCCAGCTTCTGCTTTGCATATTCTATTACATCCGAATGGAGTTCAACCCCGTGGTTCACACCAAAAGGACCTAAAATGTTCCAGAATAAGAAAACTTTTAGAACTAGGGCAAGAACTCTTATTCTTTATTTCTATTTTATCAACTACAATGTACCAGATTCAGCATGTATAATTACATGAAGAAATCCACAAGGTTTTGAGGTCTTATCATATTATTGGACCTAAATCACCCAAGCTAATCTTTAAATATGCAGGGTAGACTATGCTCACCACATTGTAAATACTTGTTTCTTTGACACTACCCATGTCACAGCTTTCTAAAGCCTGGGTCGCTCTGCTCTCAAAGATGTAAAAAAGGCCAAGATCTGCAACCAAGAATTCAAGATCTCACTAACGAATTAAAAAAGAAAAATGCTATTTCCAAATGAAACTGGACTCAGGACTGTGTTCCAAAAGGTCGCCCAGACACTCAGACATGGACACAAATAGCTTTCGATCATGATTAAAATAAAACTGTAACAGGGGTGCCTGATTGGCTCAGTCGGTTGAATGTCCGACTCTTAATTTCAGCTCAGGTCATAATCTCAGGGTCGTGGGATCGAGCCCCAAGTAGGGCTCTGTGCTCAACATGGAGTCTGCTGCAGATTCTCTCTCCCCCTCTACCCCCGCCCCTTCCCCCACTCACGCACGTGCGCTCTCTCTCAAACAAAATAAACAAATAAAACTATAACCAAGTCACAATGAAACATTTTTTATATCAAAGGAAATTTATCAATAATTGGAAATAAAGCTGTGAGAAAAGTTACAAGCCCACTTAACAATAAAGGTGTTCCCTCTGTATAAAACTGCCTTTAGGTGAGATCTATTGACACAGACAGCTTAGGTGAGTCTCTTTGTTGTGGGAATTCATTTCTATGAAGGTCAGAAACAGGCAACACTTATTTGTGATGATGGAGAAAAGGGTGCTCTCCTTTCTGGAGGGGGAGGGGCAGCATGAGAGCTTCTGGGGTGCTGGTTCTACGCCGTACCTTGTTCTGGGTGGTGCCTGCATGAAGGTGAATACTTACATAAAAATTCACTAAGCTACACACCTCACACTTGTTCATTTACTACAGGTTAACTTACACAGCCATTTTTTTTAAATATCTCCATGTGAAAATCAACAGGGCATGTAAAACTTTATTTCCTGGACAGACATACTGAAGTCACAGTGCAGCACTTAACGCTACAGTCCAAAAGAAATACTGGAAAATAAGCAACCATCTGTGCACCCATATCTTGATATTTTGCACTTGGGCTTACCTGGTCCCCCGACAGCACAACACCCACCCCAGGCCATGGCTTCCCTCTCCTCGACCTGGACAGCTCACCTGGGGCTCTCTTCTCTCAACATCTGCTGATGCTAAAACATTCTCATTAAAACACACCCTACCTGAGAAGTCACATTTTCACTATTTACAACATCAAATCCAAATTATCCAATTTCAAGACCCTCTGCCAAGTCACTGACTTCCATCCCACTGCCCTCTGGCTAGCAGCACGTGCCAGAAACCAAGAAAACCTTTACTTCCCCACTCATCATAGTTTCATTAGCCCCTCACCCTTTATCAAAACCTATTAAGCAGTTAATTCTCATAACAGATCCAGGACATAGTTCCTATCCCCAAGAAGCTTAACACCAAATACAGTAATAACACATAGCCCCTGACTCACCCCAATAAAAAGATGACTAAGAGGGGAGGGAGGGCACGGGAGGAGTCAGGACTGAGACATCAAGGGCATGGCACTGAAGCCAGACTGCAAGCCCCACCCCCCATCCCCACCCCGCAGGAGGGCACTCCACTCCCTAATCACACAGCACTTCAGGTTAGCTGCACAGGAGTACAGCAGAAAAGGGATAAACTTCAGAGCCAGGCAGAAAGGCAGTTGGGTTTAAAAAAGAGTCAGATGAAAGACTCCAGACCTCACATCTGCAGGCAATGGGAAGCCAAAATGGTCTTCAGCTCTGGAGTGATGTGCATGAAACAACATTAAAGGCTGAGTAAACTGGAGAGGGAGGCCCAGAACACGTGGTATCCGGACAGAGATATCAGCCAGTGCGTGCAGCCTCCTCCCTGCAAACTCAAGATGTCTATCCATGAAAGGAAACTCTCCCTTCACCTCCTTCAAATACATCACTGCAACCCCCAAAAAAGCTTCCCTTCCTTTAGATCTCTCCCCACCCCACCATCTAATTACATTCCCAGCAAACAGGGGACTAAGAGAAGCTGTTTATAATTTGTAGGGAATGTCAAGTGCAACAGGTCACCTCAGGCTTACTGTAAGAACTGAGCATCTCAATTCTTTTCAACAGCATTTCTAACCTAGTCAATTTGACACCCTCTCTGCCAAAGAGCATCTCATCCTTAGCTCCCCCAATTTCTCTGCTCCACTGAATTACCTTTCACTAATTCCAGAATGATACATCACCTGGGCTCTTCACAAAGCAGTCTTAATCCAAAACAAATTAAGTTCAAGCAGCATTTAGCTTTAAAAAACAAACCTAAAAATCTGAGGACAGCAATCTATAGCCTAAGTCAAATGATCAGTCTCAAGACTTCACCAAATTCCGAAGTCTATGAACTTATAAAGAACCAAAAATTTCATTCCATACCCACAAGAACGAACTGTCACTGCTAAGATTTTCTGTAACAACCGCAAAGAAACAATGTTGTGGTGCCCGTGTGGCCCGGATGCTGCCCCCCTCACAGATGCTATAGCAGCGCCCGCCCTACTTCCTCTTCAGAGAAATCCTTTAAAGGACAGGTCAGCCCTTGTTACTCCTCTGGCAAAACCGTTCTGTCTCAGAGTAAAAACAGACACCTAAACCCTCAATTATCTGATACTGTTGTTTCAATAACAAAAATGCCAATCCCCATGTGTAGTCTCACAACTTATTTGGGAAAAGAGACAAAACCTGTGAAATCCTTCCCATCCCTGGAATTTATTTACAAAGAACAACTTACAGGCATTAACTCTTTGAGCATTAAAACAAAACCAAACAAAACTGCTTGGAAGAACTTTAACTTCCAGGGAACTGTAAACTTAGTCTCAGTTTACAGAGTGACAAAGCAGGCCGGGTGATTGTATTAAACAAGAAATCACTGTAAGTCCCGATTTACACAATTCTCTCGGTCCTCTGTTGTCCAGAAGGAGGGTGTGCTGAACAGACAGTGGAGCTACAGGCGGGCGGGGGCAGGGAACAGGAGGGGTTCCTCCAGAAAACTCGGAGCCCTCCCTTCCCCAGCCCACCCAATGACTACGCATAAACCACAGCAGACGATGCTCAGAAGGTGATCAGACAACACCGCCAGCGGACTCTCTCCTCCCGCACCACGACACAGACGGTGCTCTGCCCCACTCTGTCCAGACTTACCGAGAATGAGCCCCACCATGGAGCTGAGGTAGCCAGTGCCACTGCCCAAGTTCAAGAAGGAGAGCCCCGGCTGCAGGTCCAGGGCCTCCATCACTTCCGAGTAGATGCACGGAGCCGAGAGGTGGATGTTGCCATGCTTCCACGCCAGGTCTTTATAGGCATTTTCTTTAAATTCTTCAAGATAATAATCTGCACGATCAATAGCTCGGAAAGCCTGCTCGACCAGCTCAGTCCGGATGTACTGTGCTTCTTTCAAATTGTCTATTAGCTCATCATTGTCTTCACCAGCACTCACAGCACCTCCCATCTTCAAGATCACACTTAGGCAACACTGCAATTAAAAATGTTTTTAAAGAGCTATTTACATTAAAGGTAAGAGCACGAGAGTTAAAGTTCTAATAACATGCCAATTTCAAATTCTGAATTCTGAAAATACCACAGATGGAATATATTTGGTCAGCACCCACCTACCCCACCCCAACCCCGCTAAATTCAGAAGGAAAAAAAAAACAGTTAAATATGAAATTCCATTATATCCATCACGAAGTTTGTAATTTACAATATCAAATGAATTCAAATGAACTTGAGGTACCTAATGCGTATTTGACAACTGAAAACATCATTAAAGTAGGAACTCAATATTTTACTTTAAGTCGTCAATCTACAAAATCGGATATTTAGGATTAAAATTATCTTGAATATAGATCTGCCTTAACAGGGATATATTCACATATGGCAAAGTCAGTGGATATAAGCATAAAAAGAACACAGATATGTCTAGAAAATCACACTAATATCAACTTCTCTTTGAATATTTCAAGTGCTACAGATCACTTTTGATAAATCTTTAAAAGCAAAAAAAATCAAATAAAGATAAACAACAAATACTATAAAGTTATTGTTTACTTGAAATTCAAAATTAACTGGTGTCCTAAATTTTACCCAACAACTCTACACCCCCACATACACATCGGGTCAAGGAATCCATTCAATCTGTTCATTTGGATATTCGGATGTACAAATTTCAGGCAAAAATACCACTAACAAAACTCTTACCCAATAGGACATTTTATTGTAACAAATACAAAATCTGTTTCCAGGCTACAGCTGCTCCAAGAGCTCCTACACCCCCTTTGGAAGTGTATGTTATGCAACCTTTCTACCTCTTTAACAATAAAAGGTCCATTGCTTACCTTCTTCCCAACTGCCTTCAAGAAGAAAAAGCAACAGTGTGAACCCTTCTGAGCCACCTGCTAACATACAATGTGCCTCCATCTAATTCACATGGACCTCATCTTCATGAACCATAAAAATATCTTCTCCAATTTTATACGTACCCCATGTAACTCTTTCCAAAAGAATGATTTTACTTCATGTTTTACAAAACATCTGATGTAAATTGTTGGCAAAAAACAGAAAACACCAGACTTCACAAAGACTGATACATTTTCTGCTTCAGGACAACTTCCATAATAACATACTATCATTTATTATTACAAAGTTTATCCTTGCTTTCCCCCTCACAATCCTCTGGATTTCTAACAGCGGAACGAGAAGCATAAATACTGAGGGAAGAGATTTCCATACACATATCCCGAGCACACTACTGGCAATTGTGGTGGGAGAGGTTATCCCAGGAATAAAAATAAATGAACACATGATAAATCTTCAGCTTCTCACAACAAATACCCAAAATATGTAAAACATAGGGCTTAGTATAAATGCTCTAACATTTCACGATTGGAACACTTCATCTTCATCATCAAGATTTTAGAGCTGAATATTGTACTTTCCAAATCACCAGGATGGTCCAATTACTAGCTTTTCACGCCATTTCAAGATGTTTTGGAGCCCTTGCAAGGTTATGGTCCACAGTCAGTGAACTTAGCCGACTGGATAAAGTGCTAGTGAGGTCAAGTTTAATCTTCGATAAGCCACTTAGTTCTGAGGCTACAGTCTACATCCCAAGCCTAGGACAGTCATCTTAAAATTTAGGTCACTGCTTCAAAGTGGAGTTGCGTTTGCTGCCTAAAGGTCTATTTAGGAAAAGGCCTGGAAAGCACGCATCTTTCACGGTGGATCTAATTCTGTTCCTAATGTTCTACCATTCTAGCTCAATACCATCATTCTATCTTCAGAAAGCAAACACTAACTAGATATTGGACACATTTTATTTTCTACTATGTAATCTATCACTTATTTTCAACTTCACCTCACTCTGAAAGTTTATTCATATACAACAGCTAGCATTTTAGTAAAAAGAGCTACAATCTTTACAGGCGCCACCCGCCAGTCACAGGAGTTCATGTTAGCTTCACAACATACTGAGGCAAATTGGGACCCAGCAGCTATTTTGCTCATGATCACACACCAGTGCATGAAGAGAAGGCTAGAATTCAAACCCAGGACTGTCTGGCCAAAGGCCTACGTTCTCAAATTCTCAAAGGGAAAACATTCTTTAACACAACATGTTGGTAATCTTTGCCCCAAATGACAGGCTACATAACTATGCAGTAACCCCCCCCCCCCCTGTTGCCGCTGGTAGGATGGATGTGACCATCTACAGGGTCTGAGAATATTAACTTTGCCTGGTCATCTACCACTCCCTCACAGTGGATACAATGACTGCTTATTCCTGACCACCCCTGTGACTGCTCGTAAGACCACCCAAAAACACCAACAACAGATTCAAAGATATCCTTGCCAAACCAAATATGGATCTATAATCTAGTCAAATCCAATTGTTCAAAGTAATGAGAAATAATTTCTGGATGCTGTACTTGATTATACTTTGCAATCCCCAATATAAGTCACTACTCTGGGGTAACTGGCCAACAGGACCTCCTTAGTCTCATACTGCTCCAAAACCAACTGCCAGAGCACACTGAGGAAGACAGCTAAGCAGCAATAGGCATGGGAGGGTCTCATGACGGGCAGCCAAGGAGGCTATAGCTGGGTCAACACAGCCTGAAGCCACGATAATGGGGGTGTGCAGTTCCGATCTACACTGGGTTTGTCAGACTACACATGGAGGGCCGTGTTCCAACCTGAATATCACTTCTTAATGGAAATATGGACAAGGTAATTTTATGTGGAAAATGAGCTGGGGGAAAGGACCCTGTGGTGTAAGCCCTGAAAGGTTTGTCTTTTTTGTAATGCAACGGCCTGACTTAAGTTTTGATTGGTGAGGAAGACACGCTTTGCCTCCTGCCACTCAACTCCATGAAGAACCAGGCCTTTGTTTGAGATCAGATCTTAGTTGATTTCCATAACAGACCTTTAGGGCCACTTGTCTTTTCTCTTCCCATGCTCTACATTCCCTCTTTTGTTTTATATTCCCGAATAAAGAGCAAGCCTGAGAAGCCCCAGGCTCCCCACACTCAACCCCAATACAAGCAGAAACCCAGGCCTGTGCTCGCTAGAACTCTCTCTCTCTTCCCCGTTTCACTGTGTGGCCCCAGGTATGCTATAAAATTTCCAGGTTCCGTAAGTAATAAACCTTTATTTTTTTCAGTTTCCTGATGGTTGTTGCTGAAAGGTGTCTTGCAATCATAATAACCGCAGGCGCCAGTCCAACCACATTGGTTAGAAGAGAACAGAACCAAAACCACACCTCCTGCTGGCAGAATAATGAAAGAAACACTTATCTTAAAACCTAGAACACTTGCTAGGAATACATATAGAGGGATTTTTTTCAAATACTTGAAAGGCTGCCATGTATATACTATTCCTGGAACTGATAAAAACTGGATCCATGGAACACATTAGATGAAAATAATTTCTACTAAACACAGAAAAGCTTTCTAACAACTAGAATTCCAAATACTGAACTGTTCTTAGAACCTCGAACCTGTCACCCCCAGGGATGTCCCAGGTTAGGTACAAGCTGAGGTGGGGCCAGGAGGCCTAGGCACTGACCCCAACACCTCAGAGGTCCCCTCTCATTCCACCTCTAAAGCTCTATTTCACCCAAGCACAGCCACAAGTTCTGAGTTGTTTGCAGGAACCTGCCTTCACTAATTCTTGATTGACAGTCTACTCAACACCCAGAACGGAGTTGTTTACTTCAGCCACTCCTCTGCCAAAAAGAAAGAAGAAAACTATTACAGGCTTGTGATGAACAAAGGGGACAGGCAAAGATTTAGGTAACTTTTTTGAGGGGAAACACTGGAGCACACATCAACTTGGGAGGCACATCCCATGGAAAAAAACGGAACACAGGCACCAAGCCCAGCCAAGTTCTCCTTCCCCAACTATAGACCTTTTTCAGACACGTGAAGTTAAGTCCCAGGGTTCTGTGCCAATTCTTAGTATCCCCAAGGCTTGGAAGGGCAACTATCTTTATGGTTCTGTTTCTTTGTTTTTGTTTTTTTTAGAGATTTAATTTTAAGTAATCTCTACATCCAACATGGGGCTTGAACTCACAACCCCAAGATCAAGAGTCAGCCGGGTGCCCCTAGACCGTCAACGTCTGAAAAGGTCCAAGGTAGAATTGTTTTAAACGTTGATAAGCCTTGACTTGCCTCAGAACTAACTGCAAACGTTTCCTACTCAGCAAGCTAGGGACAAACTGCACGTCTGTAGAGTCAAGTACATCCAAGGGTGCAAGCAACGGGCACTAAGAGAGAGACCTCCAGGAGGCTCTGGAACGCTGGAGGGCAAACCACAGGGCGCACCCGGGACAACCCCCCAGCGGAGCGCAGCAGGTGAAAGGGGACACGTTCCTGGAGGAGAGGCGCCTCTCTCTCCGTGTGGGTTGGGGGACTGGGGGAGAGACGCAGGAGGGGGAACCCCGGGGACAGCAGGGGGAGCCGCGGGGGGAGGGCTGAGGAACGCTGGCGGGGAGAAGGGAGGAAGGGCAG